ACAAACTTTAAAATATATTCACATACTTGCCACATTGTTTTCACCTTGATGACCACCTTAAGAAGACATAGTAGGAATCAAGATAACAAATACAGAATTTAATGCACTCAATGTGCACAAAATATCTACTCTACAGATAAAACTACAGCTTGCCTCATGTCCTGAGCAGCATCTTATTATTAACTAAGAATTTCTGGTAAGCAATCTGATCTTTCTTCTACTGAAAAATACTGAATATTTCTACTGAAAAATTTGTAACAATAAGTGATACAAAAGCATCTTCCCAACTCTACCTGCTCCCATCTGCTAATGTCATTACTTCACATAGTAGTTGTATATTAAAAGTCACAACTCTAGACTGTTAAATCTTAATTAGGTTTAGTATTAATTTGTAACTCATTTGACTGTGTGGAAAACTTGCACCACTGTGCACATTCAACATTAAAGCTATGGTTCATGACAGAAGGTGTTCAATGCATCATTTTTCATTGGTAGCAAGCATGAGAGATGATTGAGGTAAAATATTTTTTGCCACAGAAATAATTCTCATCAGCCTTTTATTTTTTAAAAAATGTATTTTTCTAGGCTTTTTCATTTCAGAAATTCTCTGCAACTGAAACATTTACATAAATTACAAGTATCATACTTTTTACATTAGGAATATTAGGTCTTTAGGTGAATGTCAACTTACGAATGATAAAGATAACAGTTCTTAATAGGAGACAGCTATAGAAAGTTACAGAAAGTGATAAACTAGAAGAATTAAATGTACTATGCTATAAAGGTGTGGATGGAGCGGTGGACAGATGAGATGACCATTTTGCTAGAATCTAAAAAGCTTCTGAAAAGTAGCCTTGCTTGTTCATTTTAGCTCTAAGATAGAGCTTATATACTTTGCTTATGCAGGAATTAAAAGCTATCTATCACAACTACAAATATGTAAGGATGTAACTTAACACCACCGAGGGTTTTGTCTGATTCATGTTAACTAAAAATGGATAGCTAGGGAAGGGACAGATAACCAGCAAGTAGAGACTTTTTCTTAAGCAGAATATAAGGAGTGTCAGGAATGAAGTAGCAAGATGGAAATAAAAAAACGCTCTCATCTTAAAAGTACTGTAACAAGTTCCTTAGGATCCTTCATGATCAAAGATAACACTGAAAGAAACTTTGCACACTGAAGTGGAAGAACTGAACATCAGTGAGACTGATGATCTTGCAAAGTGAAATACTTTGAACACCTCTTGTCACTGAAATGTATTCCTGGTGATAATTTAAAACCTGTCCTTGGTCTTCTATATCTGCTTCATTTGACTTTGACACACAACATTGCCAAAAATTAAATATTGATTACGTCATTTATGTATGGGAGAAGTGAAGACTTCAACTTGAAAGCTGTAATTTTCTTTTATACTAATATCATATCCCTAAGAGTAGAACAAAATTAGGAGTTTGAAGGAATGACTCAGTCATTTGCTCTGGATATATTCTTTTAAGTTATAGATCTAAAATTTTATACTGTAAGTTTAAAAAAAGCCCCAAGAGTCAACATTAATGCAAACATAAAAAAATTTCTCCATATTTGTAAAAGGTATTTTACACTAGGCAGTGTATTTATTGCTTTTGCATCTGAAAAGAACATTGCATTTAACGTCATGAAAATGCCAACCACAAACATACACAAAAATATAATAAGATCTTAGAATCTGAGCAGCTACTGGAAATGACAAGAAAACCTTGCAAGCCACACTATGTCATCCTAAACTTTTATCATGTGAATATTCAGCAAATTCATCTAACCTTGTTGAGAAAGCAGTAAAAGTTTAAAAAGACCAAAACTATGTTGTAGAAGACAAAAATATCTGTCATAATCGCTATCAACTTTATGGTTGAATGACTGAAAAGGGGAGAAAAAGGGAGGACTGTTAGTGCAGTTTTCCCCTGAGTAAAACTTAGGTTGCCTCTATATCTGAATCCATCTACTATAAATATGGTTTAAATGCTCTTTGAGCTGCAGTGGATTTTGCTTGAAACTCAAATGCAATTTAGAGAACAAGGAAGATGTTCTACAGAGATTTATTAAAAGCTAACAGAAGCAAGTTTGCTTAGCTTTAGTGATGTACCTAATGATAGACAGAGTAGTCCCAATGGGAATTTGTCTTGAGAAGTTCTGACCTCCCAAGAGGCTACAATGAAAAATATAATTACTTCTTTTATCGGGAAATTAAACTTTTGAGAACTGATTGAAATATACAGGTTCAAACTCAATATTCATCATTTACTACTTTGTTACAAACAGAGATTTTCAGAAAACATGGAAGATGAAGTGTAAACAGTAAAGCAAATTTAAAATTAAATGTTGTATTTTGTCTACATGATCTGTGTGTATATATAAACATTAGGTTTTCCAAAATATAATTATGAAAAGGTAAAGACTTTTCCTAACAGATCAATCAGAAGTATTAGTAATGCACTCTCCCATACCCTCTCTCCAGTACCCCCATGCATTAGTAACCTGCTGCTTACATTCATTCAATAGAGGGGTTCCCGTCATTGCAGAAGCTTGATTTTTTTTCTAAGACACACAACTTTCCGCTATTCGGCAAATTCAGTAAGAGAGATGTAAGGGTTTATGTACAGGACAAAAAAGATACAACAAGAAAATGGTACAACAAAATAAACTGGAATATGTAGCTGACAAAGAAATATAGTGCCACGAGCTCTATGGCTAGACCACCACTCCAAACAATACGTATAATCAAAGAAAACTAAATTGGTTTTTTTGCTGAAACTTCCTCTCCTTTGTTTCATTTCATATATATATATGTTTTGGAGCCCTGAAATGAGTTCCTAAACCAGCACATGAGAATATAGAATAGATACACACTTGCAGATTAAAGAAGAAAAAAAACCACCCTGGTATATCAACTGGATGCTGAAGTACAATTTATCTTTATTCTCACTACTGTGAGATCAAGAGGTCCAGTGTAAATTTAATTCGTACTGCCTTATTAGAAAGCCAGGATCCAGAAGGAAAAACACAATAAGTGAAGACATTTAGACATATTGACAATCTTGAAGAATATGAATGAACCACATTTCTTGAAAAATTCGGATGATGTTTGAGAACTTGAGGGTACTGAAAAGGACTGAACAAAAGGTAACAAGTAGTTTGTTTGGTTTCTTTAAAGTGATAGGTAAAATGAACCAAGAGCTCTCTAAGTGGCAAAGCAGCTTACACTTTGTGCAAAATCCAACCTCTAGGTAATAGGAACAGATGAGATCATCCTTCAAGTTTATTTTCCAGTTGGGTTTTCCTAGATCTTTACCTATATTAGCTAGCTTGTACCACCCACTTTCAAAAGACACAGAAAAGCTAGACGAACCAGATGTTGCATGGCAATTCCTGTTGTAAAAGTGGTGGGGTCTCACACATTCTGAACAAAATCTGATTTTGCAGTAATACATGAAAAACAGGGCTTAACGTGAAATACCAAAGCATGATCCAATTACAGTAAGAGCTCATCTCAACTAATTTCCCAAAGAAGAGTTTCAGATTTTTAATCTGTTTCAAAGTTCTTGTAGTTTCCTTCTGTAATCTCTGAAACTTTGAAGACAGTCTAGAGGAGTGCATTCTGCTTCACAACAGATAAGCTTTACTTCTTCCCATTGTGATAACTTTTCTGAAAATACATTGGCTTCATGTAGAGCTATTTCTTAGCAGTGCTGTCTCTTTTTTATGCCTGTTACTGGTCTCCTTTGGTTTTCTTTGGACACTTTTGTTTTGTCAACAGGCATAAAACTCAGTGCAGTTTCTCTGTTTCATATTGCTCTTCTGCTCTGAGTGTTCTAATGTAATAAGCTCTGAGTTATTTTTAAGCCGTCGAACAAGGGACAATTTTTAAGCAAAAAAAATGAAAGAGCCGCTTGCAGATAGAATTCATTGAACATCTTAAGAAAAGTAGACTATATAATGAAGTTCAAGTATGCTGTCCATCAGAATAATTTTGATTCTATTACAGTGAAGGTGAGTACTGCATAAAACAATCCCATAGGCTAAACCAAAACATTTCTATGGGTGGTTGCCAATAAATCTTGTTTGCTGACAGAAAAGAATGAGACAGCAGGAAAGAAGAACTAGCAGATGCTGGCAATCACTTTAGCACGCAGAATAATCTTCAAGGATCATGAATTAGATGAGGAAGAATGTTATTGTTCGCCATCTGCTATGGGTCTATTAGTATGTCAGCAGCTGGTGCCACAGAAAGATCTTTGTGATGTGAACGCACAGAGCGATTTCAGACAAGAGTTTTCTTCTGCTGAAAGGAATCCTGCCAAACATAGGCATTACAGGCCTTGCCACTGGTCAATTCACTTAGTTTTTGATGTATGCTATTTAGTTTGATAAAAAGAGAACATAGTAGAGTTTACCTCAGTGATTAAATAGTATAGCGTAATCAGTAAGAACCAAGTAATAATCCCACAAGGTTGGCATTAAAACTTTCTTTCTATTCAATTTAGGCTGGTTTTTGTTTCCAAATGTCAGGCAGCAAATATCTAAGTTTGAGCAAAACCAGTTGGTTTGAAAGTGTCTTAAACCGAACAGTAACAAAGTGGGGCACAGAACTGCCCCAGCCCAGGATAGAAATTTGCACATACGTTTTGTCGACAAAATACTACTTGCTTAATGTTGTTACTCAGTGGCAGGATTATCTATGTTCCTGGGGATATTAAGGACATTCAAGGTGTTTACAATTTCATATTCATGATTGATATTGCAAGAGATAACATGAAATTTCAGTAACCATAACGTGTTGGTGGACCCACATATTAAGTTGTGCAACAGTACACATGGAATGAACTGTTCTGTCTTGTGTTTATCTGTTACTTAGAATGATACAACCGTTGCATGCGAACCAACCTTGTTCAGCAGAGACAATACATGAATCTGATAGATTATATGTCTGAGCATGGAGCTTGCAAGGCATAAATGTACTTACTTTTGGTGTTGGGCAGGATGCAGTGGAGAGACGAGAGGTGGCCTGGGCACGAGGAGATTCTGAAGGAGTAGTACTGAGGGAAGCTGTATCACGTGGGAGCACCTGAACACCACGAGAGATGATGGAATCTGGAATCTTAAAAAGAAGAGAGATGGAATTAATAGTAAAAAATATACTGTATTTAAAACTTAATTAAAACCTTACATCAAAAACATAGGAATACCCCACACCCCAGTTTGCACACCTCCTCATATGCAGTGCTAGCAGTGGTTAATGGCATGTTCTCATAATTTCAGTAACAAATATCTAGCAAATACATAAGATCATATTCTAACTGAAGTAGTATAGAACATACTATTTGTCCTGAAAAACCTATGAATCAGACACACAACAGGAAATAAGAAGAAAGGAATTTTCTTATTTTTTAATTATTAATTTGTTATTAATTTATTATTATTTATTTTATTATTATTAAGAGGTTTTTCTTCTTAAGCCTCAGTTTCAAACCCAACAATGACCAACAGTGATTTCTACCATGGCCAGAAGGGAGGCAGATTTCCCATTCTCTAACTAGCGGACAACATTCTGAACAGAAAACCACTTATTAGCAATGACTGAACCCCTCCGAAGAAACGTCATGCAGTGAGAAAATCTCTCATAAGAAATGTCATGCAGTGAGTAAATACTCTTCATTCCATGTATTGAAGACTTTATTTCAGCTACAAAAATTCTTGATGTAAGGTTTGTGTTGCAAAAGCTACATGCCTCTCTGGAGGGAGTACAGGCACTAGAAACCACCATCCAAAGCCAACACTTGGTTTAAAATGCATTCTGAAGGGAATTCCAGAAAGCTGGAATTTTAGGGACAGATCCTTTAGCTGGTATTGTTAAGTCACTTAAATAAATGAAATTACACCAACTTACAACAGTGAGAAAGTTGTCTTATTTTCAGTAATAAAAGCAAATTTATCATTTTTTATCTCCTGTCTCTTCTGTTCAGTTTTATCACCAGTTCCAAAGAAAAGAGGTAGAAGAATGCATTTAAGAATAAAGCTTTTCTTAGCTTTAATATACTGAGTCTTAGAAAGTCTGTTGCTTCTTATTCCTGCAGTATTTGGGCCCAGTCATGCAGCTATCACACTGGCTTTATAATTGACTGGATTGCTAGTTTAACATAATGATTAATTTTTTATTTTTTGTGTAAAATGGTAAGACATATGAATGATAAATACCTCAGATAGGAGAACTGATCTCTAACATTAGTTCTACAACACAAAATGCAGCAGATATTCCGCTATAACACACTCTCTACAAAGGCTTATTCTGATTTTATTGTCATGATTTTAACCTCTTCCTTTTTCGGAGGCAGCACTTCTACCAGATCAGACTGCTCTTACTTCCTGCAATTCACTTTTCTATCACAACAGACAAGAACATGTAGAAATTCAGGTCTTTGATGGAATATATACACACACAGTTTAAGATCTTTCTGCTCATTAAGAATTTCTTAGCTCAGCCTGATGTTCAAGTTCCAAGAGAACCACCAGAAGAACCCCCATGTTTGGAGGAAATGGCAGTAGCAGACAATAAAAGGAAGCAAGAAATGAAGATCCAGGGACAAGCCAAACCACTAACACTGGACATTTCCAGCCAGGATTTATTTTTTTTAAATGGAGATGCTGTACCCAGTCTGCATCTAGGCATTTTGAGCATTCTTGCCTAGTAAGGCTTTAGGGCAAATAGAAGCCACTGGAAAGTACCTCTTTCCAGGAACAAGCTTGAACCCTAGCCTTTAAAATCTGTTGCATCCTTAGGACCAGTGTCAGGATATTAAGGCAGCTTTGTTGCTTGTCTCTGTGCAGTTAAAATCACCGATCTTAAGGCTCAAGTCATTACATACTGCTTTTTTATGTCATTTTTTCCCCTCAACTTCCTTGGTTCCCGTCTATAAATAATGACTACGTCTAACTTAGCAACCTTGACTTAGAGATACTGGATTATACCTAGGGGATCTTATTTCACCATAAACCTTCCTCTACCCGTTAGAATTTCTTATATTTATAACCTGTTTATAAGTTGTGTGGAAACACATCTTGCTCTCAGTGTGCCACCAACTGCCTGCTTTCTGCTCTACTGCTGTGTTTCTAGACTGACAGTATTTTTTGCCAGTCAATTTCTGTCAGCATTTAAAAAACCCCAACTCTCCTCAGAGGATCTTTCAAGGCTAAGTAACTTATGCTGCAATTTCCACTACAAATTATGAAGTCAGCAGAGTTTCTCTTCACTGTGGACAATTATGCTGGGGATATCTTCCTCTCCAGAAACGGTGCCTAACTGGCCTCTACTTGGAGTACTCTGATTTGCAAATAGCATCTTAGAGATGTACTATAAATAGAGGTAAACAGGGACAATGATATTCTGATCATGCAAACAGTTTGTAGTCAGAAGCACCATTTCCCTTCTGTTCTCTTTTTCTCCTGAAATCCCATCTTCGATATGTTAAACACAAAAAAAGGCTGACATCCCTAAGTTTTATATTGGCATAGGTCCAATACTACCTACAACTTTTAATGCTTCCTTTTAATCTCCACAACTAAGGACAATACAGCAAAAAATTATGTTTTGATAAAGGCATAAAATAAGACACAATAAAAGAAAGTATAGTTTTAAGCCTTCAGATAAGACACCCTTTCTCTACCCTCCTCTGATAAAAAGCTGCACACATCTTGATATGATTGTGTATGGATCCATTACCTCTTTTATACACTCAAAGATCCCACAATACAAATATAATATTGCTTGTGCAAATGATACCACGATCCAGTTCTCCTGAGTTTACTCTGGTTACTCTAGAATAACCAGATATTACATATTGTCTCATCCCCTTCAGGCAAGTAACTGTTTTGCTTTTCTTTTTCTATCTACCATATCCATCAATCATTGCTTCTAAAATTTTATCCAAAATCACCTTTTTCAGAACAAAAAACTCTCTCTGCAACAAAATGACTGAGACAATTCCAGTCTCCATTGAACTGCATGTGAAGTACTAATTTTTGCCTGTGAGCAAATTAAAATTTAAGTAAAATTTCAGCCAGGACATTAATCAGAAAAGGAAGCTGAAGATAAAGGGAAAAGATTATTACAGGCATTTCATTTCAATGAGAATTATTCCCTAATCACTACCTTTACAGAAAATACAATTGCCATAAAACAATCCATATATAAACCTACCTAGAACTCTAAGTTTCAGCTTGCTAGCTTTTGCAGACACAAAATCTCACTGAGAGAATTAAGTTAGTCCACAGTTACAAATTTTGCTCTCAAGAGGTTTATTTCTCTAATATGACAGTGGAGTCTGTTGTATTGCTAAAACCAGCACTAATATTCTCTTTAAACCACTACAACCTGCTGATTTCAGAGAAGGTACTAATATGTATACTGCATAAATATATACAAAATACAATGGATATATACTGTTCATTAAGTGAAAGCGACAATAGAATATGATTGGTATTTCTATGCATGTATGTTATGTGATATGGGGAATGTCTCATTTTTCTCACCTATATTTAGTAAGTTTTTTTCCTTTCAAAATTAAATTTAGGCAATCTACGCCTCTAATCAAGGCAACTTCTTGCTAACCCTATTAAAGAGGTTGATAAACCCATAAGAAATTTCTGTGTTTCCTGGAGCCTGGAAATCTGCAATAAGGAAGGGCAGGAATATTATTATGTTTATGTTTTGGATAGATTATATATTTTTTAAAACTTCCACAAAGTCACAGTCTGAGTATTTATGATGTCTCCCCCTGAAGTTTTTCAACTCATTTGCCAGTTTCAAACAAATTTAATAGAGGGTAGAGGTCCAAATCTCTAAATGGGGTACAATAAAACTCTAAGTTTAGTGAAAATAGTTTCTGTTTGCACTAGCTGGAGTGGAAAACCTGTTGTAACATACTGATGGAGAAAGAAATGAATGAGAAATGAATGAAGTGACAGAGAAAGATATCCACTGTATCCATCAGTCACTGCTTCTACAATTTTTATCTGATATAAAAGTACTTCTGGAAAAGGTCATATCGGTTTAAATATTTATGTTTTCAGATTAGAGAACTAAGTGTTGACAAGAAGGGGAAAAAGCAAAAGATATGAGCTCTTTATTCTCTTTTGCCCAGGACTGGAACAAAGATTGACAGTGCTGGTGAGGTACTAAGAAAACAAGCTGTAGATGGTAATTACTATGATTGTTATACAAGTGCAAAAATGTCTTAAAAACACTGAGAGAGGACAGCTTAAAAAAACAACAACCTTCTGAAAAACTAGCCACTTCCTGCTCTGAGTTTGAGGATCTGATTTGGATTATAGAATGCATAAAACAATAGCTCAAGAGTAATTTGCAAAAGGGCACAGAACCCTCGATGACAGCTTAACAGCGTGCTTCAGAGAGGCTGAATTCGCCGTTTTACTGATACTGAGGAATATGGTGCAAATTCTAGTTTAGTAACCTCAACTCAAAAAAATGAAACTATTGGAATAGATGTGTGTGTTTGTATGTATGTACACATATATAGCTTTATCATCAGGTGTGTGAACTTTAAAGCCTTCACATTTCCTAATTGACTTTTCAAGAGACATGGTCATCATGTTTTAAATACAGAGGTGTTACGCTATTTGATTGGTGGTTTAAATTACTATTTGCCTAAGGGAACAAGAAAGTGCAGCCTCTGGTCATCAAATCTAGTGACGTATTTTCCCAAGAACTTATACCCCGTTTGCTGCCTGACATGGAATGAAAGGTCAGACAGCACAACTCTCTCTAGGCCAACTGCCTTCCTTAGGTTTCTCTAACCTACAGTTATTAATACAGTAAATTATGTTTCATTCCTGATGATACTGTAGCCATTATTCTATCTTGATTCAAGCCTAGACTAAACCTTTGGGAGACAGAAAACAAAGTATAGTATTTTGTTAGCGCCTGAGTTATAACCTCTGGGTTATAATAAACTAAGTCCTTTCTACCATTCATTGAAATAGTTGCCTACTATTCACTAAAATCCAGTAATTTATAGTAAAGTCCACTGTATCCTGACTCCTCAAGTCTTTTTTTCTGTTTTTGAGAAATTCTACTTCTAAACAGAACACAAAAATAATGGAGGAACTGCAAGTGATGAAAGCAAACTATGAACACCCAGTGCAAATGCTGTATTATGTTGACAAACTAACTGAGAGAAAAAAGCAAAGCAAGGCAAATGAAGGGGAAAAAGATACCAAAATACTGCTCTAAAGCAGTAGTTTTAGGAGATTATTTTAATTCTATTCAGTTATTGAGTATATTAGATGATAAAGCTGATGACTAATTAGAAACACAGGCTTTATAGCAACGATTATCTCAGCAGCCAAATGATTCAAACTGGCAACGCACGCGAACTTTACCTTGTTTAGCCCTGTATCTTAAACAGAATATTTTCTGTAGCATGTTCTCTAAAAGACAGCACTGATGTGTATTTGTTAGAAGAAAATAAGTAACACTGTCTGTTCACACAGTAGACTAGGAGGCAGGCAGTGTATTTTTAGCTACTGTTAGTGCAAAAGCCTCTTGGACGTTGTCTCTTACCGGTTCTCCTGCACTGCCTGCTGCGTGATGGCAATAACTGATGAGACCAGGGATGGGCTGTTCACCTTTTGCCATGATAACAGCTGAACTGGTGTAGGATGGATGCTTCTAATGCACAACACATAACAGCTATGAATACAGTGACAGGAAAACATGAAACTATACAAGCAAATGACTGAAAGAGAATGAGGTGGAAACAGGTGTGACACTGAAATGCCAAGCTCATATGAACACAGCCAGTTTAGATCTCAGGTATTTTCTGCCTTTAAAAATTGCACTTATTATTTATCTTTGCCTATATCAAAAGAAGTTAATAAATTTGAAATTTGCATTAATAAAAACTGAAACTTGCAAGTGGTAATTACCTTAATTCATCCCTGTAAAGACATATGTAATCAGGATTTCCTGCACATGAGGAGATGATCTCCAGCTGCAGCTGTCTTAGAAATGTCAAGATGTCTCAGACCTGAATTCACATTTCTGGAGTTAGAATGTTGCTGCTTTGGTTTAGAAATTGTTTAATACAGTTTTGAGTTACTTAGACTTTCAATTCCCACAACAGGAATTAAAAGTACAATTTGTGGAGTAAATACAGAACAAAGCAGTTTGGAAAAAACCCTTTCCAAACACATAGGAATACATTGTCTTTCCATTTGAAAACTGAAGACATAAAACTGAGGTAAATATTTATATATTGTTTCAAATAACATATTTCTTTAGAAAACATTTAAAATTTGAACTGAAATAATTTGCAAGTGTTATCTAATTTTTTCCTTTTGTAGTCTCAGATTTATTATTTTGGTTTGAGTAATGTTGATCTATAATTACTGGCTAAAACAAGTCTATAAAGACAATGTGATGACATTTAGTTTTGTGGCAGAATTTCACATCTCTTACGTGGACATGCACACTGGAATACAGTAGTCTGGATAGCTTATTACTTAACCTGCTACCTATCTGTCATACTTTTTATCAATGTTTTTAGAAACCAACATTTTCTTTTCAAAATAGATATTATGGCTTAGAAAATTTTGTTGCGATTCCTTAATATGCCACCTACTGGACTTTGCATGTTCAGGTGAGTGAGTACTTTGAATTTAAAAAAAAAACACACTAAAAATAATCTGTCACATCAGAATGGTATCATAAAAATGCATGTTATCATCAAGATAATAAACAATACATAACTCCCACTGAAATTTGAGATCACCTACCGAAACTGGATTAATATATTTTTATGAAGCTACATTTCTACAAAACGTACCTAAAATACATCACTTTGACCACACAGACGTCAATGTATAGTCTTAACATGCAAATGAATATTGGTGGAAAGTACCTGAGCTAGAAACTAAAGGGTCTCTTGGGGAAACAAGCCAGACTCACCTTAGCTGCAATGGCTGCTGCCGTGATATGTGAAGAAGAACTGTCCTCTGTTGAGGCAACTCCACTATCCTTCTTCTCTTCCTCCTCTTCCTCACACTGTACTCCTTTGTCTTCTGTCTGCTTGTGAGGGCTGGTGGTTGGAGGAGGAGAAAGAGGAGGTGGTGGTGAAGGTAGATCTTCAAGCTCATCATGTACCTCCTTTACTTTTACAATGGCATCCCGCAAAAGATCAATGGCGTGAGGTAGGGCTGGCAGTATAAACTGAAAACATTCCTATGCACAACAAGAAAAAAAGACTATGAAAAGTTACCTGCAGAAGTAAATAGGATTTTTCAGATTTACTCTTAGAAGATATTTGGGATTTAGATGTATCTTCTCACCTCATCATAAATAAAACCTTAAATGCCTTATGCAATTGCTCATAGATGGTAAAAAAACAAACTCAGAACCAGAACTGGGGACTATACTATATATATTTTTGCCTTTTTTCATGCAAATATAGTAAGTTGTACAATGGGGCTACTGTAATTAAGCTAATATTGGATTAAAACTTTGGAAAACAAGAGTTAAATTTTCATGAATACATAATACAGAAACTAGTTCACAGCAGTTGGCAGAATACTACAAAAATGCAGAATAAAAACATTAACTCCATCCCTGCAGGGATATTAGCTTCAAATCATTCCTAATATGTTCCTTCACAATTAGAGAACAATTCATAAGGGTTTCCATAATTAGGCTTTTATATAATTATATCCTTTTTTATTCATGGTCTTATCCTATATACTGGAAGAATGACAAACTACACTGATGTCGTTATAATGTTACGTAACTCAGAAAAAAATGTTCATAAATAACCTATTTTTCAAACCTTTCCTTGCTCTATAAGCTTAAAAGCAATTAGAAAGTTTATTTTATATGGCTGGGGAAAGCAAAAATGCAAACACCGTGTAACTATTCTTCTTGTTCCATATAGGGCATATACATATATAGCTACCTCTGCTGCTAAAATATGCTAGTATTTCATCAAATTAAAGAGGAGCTTCAGGACATCACGCACTGCAGCCTCCTGCTCAGATCAGGGTCAATACAGAATTCAGACAGGTTGCTTAGGGCTTTCTTCACTGAAGTCTTGAAAAAATCCAAGAACAGAGACTCCACAACCCTTCTTGTCAACCTGTTCTAATGCTTAATTACCCTCAAAGTGATTTTCTTTTTCTTTTCTTTTTATCCAGCTGGAAGCTACCTTCTTCAATTTGTGACTATTGTCTCCCATCCTCCTCCCAGACACCTCAGTAAAGAGTTTTCTTCATGTCATTTGAGCAGACTGAACATAAACATTAAATTATTGGAAAATGATGGCAGGGTCACAAGAATGAATTGCCATGGCAGTGCAGTTAGGGAACATGTAAGTTGACAGAGAAAGCTGACATTATTCCTTTTGTTGCACTTCATTTTCAGTTTTATTTCAAGCATAAGGAAGATTTTTTAAAATGTATTCCAACATTTTAGAGTATCCAGAAAATAATGATAAATATTTTGTAAATAGATACTCTAACAAATATTTTCAATAAATAAAAATGACTATGTAAAGAAAATAAAGAGCAAACCATCCATCAGAAATTACCAGAGTTTATATAAGCCACTTTGTAAGTCAAAAACATGACTCACAAACACTATTTCCTCAAAGCTTCTAAATAAGAACCCACCTTTCAGTTGCTCCTTTAAGAGTAATGAAAAGTCAGAGTACTTCACAGGTTTATAAATTCTTTAAACATTCAATTTGGCACTCTGAAGAACTGGAGTAAACTGGATGAGCATAAGATGCTGTACATAATGAATATATATTAAAATATATTTGTAAACATAATAAAGAATTATAACTTCTAATGTAACTGCAAACCTTGGAGTTATTGTGCCTCCACAATATTATTTTAAAAATGGTTTAAAATACTGAAGCATACAACCATCGTTACTTCAGTAAAAAAGCAGACCTCAAGTAAGTGGTAAACAAGGACAACAATCTGTGAACTGACCAATAATCATGAAAAGGTACATTAATGATTAACTCATTAGAGAAGCATGTCCCCCACTCCTACCACTGAAATAAAGCCTTGTTGACTTGACTGTTGATGAATAGGTTCCCACTAAGTACTCTAAAAGCTCATGCTATTTGTAAAACTCATTGTTTTAGGCAATTGTTAGTACAATTATGAAAATTGCCATAGACTCAGTGATTTCAACAAGCATCTGGTAATTTCACATTTTGCCCTCTTTCGTAACATGAAATACCTTTTGCAAGGCTAAAAGAAAAGAAAACAGATCAGAACAACACAAAAATGGAAGTATTCTACAGGTCCTGATTCAGTGGTACGTGCCACACAAACGTTCTCTGGAGAAAACACATTTGGCATTGTGTCCATTTTTGAGATGGAACATTTACACTGCTGCCATTTTCTATTAATATTTTATTAATGAAATATGTATACTGCTGCAATTTCATAGCTTTCTATAAACTTCTCATATGATTGTATTAATATGGTGGAAAGGAAATTAGCAAGTCATAAAAGAGAGAACTGAGAGAAATTTCTGGTAACAACCCATTCTATTTGGTTCTTGAGATCCAGCCTGTTATGGAACAATTTTCTCTACTAGTAGTCTTAAAAATCTTTGCTGAAATCTGATACTTTAAAGATGTTTCATATTAAAATAAATTGTGACAGAACAAAGTATCATCATGACAGGAACAAATAAATAATCAGTTTATAAAAAGCTTGCTTGTATAATGAAATCATATGACATTTTTTTCTTTTCCAGCAGAATTACCTTTTTTATTACTTACTTTATATCGAACTATTGTTAAATTACTTATACTTATTCCTCATTCTACAATTTACCTATCTTGATAGTCTGAGTGCCTCAGGGCAGAAAATGACCATTTCTTCTGTACCTAGCATGTTAGGAGTGTTACTGAATACAACAAAAACCATCAGAGATTGTAGGCTATTTCATCTCTTTCATAATTCAACAAAAGAAGTATAGACTTATGAAAAAGTCTTCTTACTGGCGCACCAGTTCTCTAAGATGTGGGGCCCATTGCTATGTTAAATCCATGTACATACATGTGACTTCCCACTCATAACTGGGACTTTCAAGTAGGTATACTCCTGCCCCACCATCCTCCAATGCTTGTTGCATGTTTTGAAGGCTTTTAAATTTCTTTTCAATTACAGTCTCATTAGATTTCCTAAAAAGGCTCTAAGGAATGGTAGAATCATAGGAGGGCTTACTGAGTCCTTGAACTGAAACATGTAGACAATGTATCTGAAAACCTGTGATGGCTGCTTAAGATAATAGTATTCAAAACATTTCCTCTTCAACTTCCAGGTGACAGCCCACAAACATTCTTTATTTATCTCCAGACATAAGTCTTTCAAACAACAGTGACTTCAGGGCTGTGCTGCCAAACACATTAGTACCGTCTCCTCTGTGATTGGGTACTACTGGTTCAGAAGATGTTGATAAACCACCACGTACACATTTGTTAGAGGCCAGCAGTAAAGACATTTTTTAACAAGGCCACTGACATAGTCTGAGCCCTGGAGAAATATGTTCTCATGACTGATGGGGGATCTGCCTTAGCAGTTTTGTATCAGGTTGTACAGCCCACTATTCAGCTTAGCAGTGTTTGTGTGGAGAAGGCTGTTTTTCTGGATCTATCAGCCAACTACACAGAAAGAGCGAGCACTGGAAAGATCTAACCTTACTAACACAAAAAAAAAATTCCTCCTGATGTTTAATTGTGTTTCTCTCAGCTCTACAGTCAGAAAGTAAGCATGAATAAAACCACAAAGCCTAACTTCCCTGTCCAAACTGAGCAAAACGCAGGAAGAGCAAACTGTATAAAGATACATACAGAAAACAAACTGTATAAAGGGTGTAAAGTCTGATACCCATATCCAAAAGATTTAAAAGATCCTCAAACTCTTAAAAATTATGTTCCTTTTTTTCCCTCTTGCTGACCAAAATTAGGAATATTCTTCATACTCCAGCAAGTTCTACCATACATTAGGTAGAACATCTTCCTCTTACTTCTGTGTGGAAAAGAACGCTTTCTTGGAAGGTGTAGACAACACAGGGATCAGGTACAGACTGACTAGAGAAGAAGGAAGTGTAAGAGGCCATTAGACTCTTCATTAGCACTGCCTGCTACAGTGAGCGCTCTCTTGCACTACATGTAATGCTGTCCTGGTCACACAGTACCTTCAATCAGATCGGAATTGTATCATCCCTGAGTGAGAGTGATGGTGCATTCAGTTATATGAATATGTATTTCAATTCACTTTTGTAAAATTTGTTGTAGTGAGTACTTTCTACCATTCAGAACAATAGGAGGTGCTCATCAGGGGTCCTCAGTAGCAGATCAGTAAGAACACTTCTTACCTGTGACCCTTTCTTGCTACCTGGCAGATTAATTATGAGAGTTTTCCCTCTGATTCCACACACAGGTCTGAAAAGAAAGAAACCCAGAGTGAGATTCTTGCATGCAACTTTTGCTGCTGTAGAAACAAGAACTGAGCATTTAAGATAAATTTATCAGAATTTGTAAACTCAATTTCCAGCATCTAAAAATATTTGCTCAGGAGAAGCTGAGCTGAAAAAGCATCAAGTAAGGCTGACAGAGTCTAACATTTAATTGATAGTATAAACACTGGCTAGATCTCCATCTTTTTTAGATCTGTGTAGCTCCCTTAATTCTATTGTTTACTTGCACCCAATACATTCTTTGATATAGTCTGTATTTGCTCATATACACGGTTGCTTTGTAACGTAATTGATGGTGTCAAACACTACTTCCCTTGCCAGGTAAAAATACTAAGTCATGCTGGTTGCATTAATTCAAATATGTCTTTTTTTTTAAAAGATGCAACATAAGAAAAGCACAGAGGGAAGTATCTCTCAAGTGAAAACTGCACTTATGCAATTCATATCTAATTCTTCCTAACAGACTTTCCTTCCCCCTCAAAAAAAAGACAAAACCAACTATCAAAGATGGAAGATTTTATTTTATTTTTATCTTTAGTGAATTCCTTTGGTCTTGATGCAGGACTCAACTTAGACACCCAAGTGCTGAATGCTTTCTGTTGTTTAGAGTTTGCCTCTTCCTCCTTTTAGCTAAATATTTTTCAAGAAAAAATAAATTAAAATTACTGGATTTTATCTTGAGGTTGTAAAGAATGCCTCCTGCTTTTCTCCACTGTTTACGAACCCAGTGGTGAAAAACCAAGGACCGGGATATAAGGATAAGAAAAAAGTAAAAGTACGAAACCAAACCACAAAGATATGGAGACTACAGTTGAGAGAAATTGTGTAACAATCTCTTTATCAAACAAAAACATGAGCCATAAGTGAAGACAGAATAGAAAAGAAAATAATTTCTTGATAGGGCATTACCAAAAATTTTGAGCCCAAGGACATGGTTTGTGGGGTAGCCAGCTTCCCTGGATTTCTTCTTATATGAATAATTCTCAGTGATTAATGTCATTTATTGGTAGCATAGCATTTTCTAGCAGGGTAGCAAGTATTCTAGTGACAGCTGTCATAATGATCGCAATTAAATAGCACAGAGACCATTTTTGTGCCACAAAATGAACTTTTGATATCACAGTCAAACCAGCCTGAACAGAAGTCTTATTTTAAACTGGCAGCTTGAATATTGCCTGACTCCTAGCCTCTGTTTTCCCATATTCACTTCTTGCACACTATATACCTTCAGTTAAGAAAGAATTCCAGGTAGTTGAGGAATGCTCTACTGCAATACAAAGATGAAGAGCCTGAGTTAAAGAAATGTGCTCACTTACTCTTGTTGCTGTAGTCAAACTGCAACAAGATTGTACAAACTCAATCCAGCAAATCCCATACGTGGGATACAGTTTATGACAGATTCAAAATAAAGGAAATGGGAATTATCCACAGGGGAATTAAAATGAGGTGGAATTGTGTTTGGCAGATAGCTCCTTTAATAATCTTCTTGGGTCTTTTGTTCTGCTTTAAATAATTTCGAACATTATAAGCTAAATGACCAGTACAATCAACCAGTAATAAAAAAGGACTAAACCAGCAGCCATTCTCCTGAAGGTTACAAGTTTTGCCTGCCAATAATCACATCTAGTGGCTCAAGACAGAAATGGGGCTGCCAAAAATTTCTCAAGAGAGCATGTAAAAGTAAGTAGAAGTACCTAAGAACTGCACGGCTTGCAAAAAATATTGTGTGCGCTCACAACATAAAAGCACACAAAATGTGCATGCATTCTGGATAATTTGAGAGTTAAATTAATGATATTCCTCCAAATGCAGAACAGTTGAGGGAGATGCTGTGGATCTCATGCTATCCTCAGCTTTGTGATGCAGTGGACAGAAATTCTAAGAAAAAACAAAGAAGTCTGAGAAAGAAGAATACAAATAGAAGCAAGGGAGTGGAAGGAAAAACAGGACACGAAGAAAGAAAAAAATGGATGTGGGAGGAAAGAAATACAGGTCTGATGCAGAAGTAGGAATAGAGAACATGATCTCTTTGGGGAAAAAAACATGATCTCCCTGGGAAGAAATTATGCTGGTAAAAGCAGAATAGATGGGCAAGGAGACAGAGCGTGCTTTAAAAAGCCTCAGTAAAGACTGGCACGGCATGGGTAGTTGACAGGTAAGGAACCAGGTGGAGGGAAGAGATAATTCTGGGACAAGGACAGTTTTGGAAGGTCACAGAGAAGAAAAGGAAACACTTTCAGGAAACACATAAAAAGGTCTATGACACTCTAAGATACTCTGCTGGACCTTAGGACTGAATGCAAACTATGACAGTCTCACTGCCCCTCATTTGCCCGTAAGTATCTGTGAATCCAGTCTACAAAATAACTCACCAATTCCTAATGCTGGCCCATAGTCTGGAAGACAGGCTATAACAATTTTTAAAAGTTCATGTGATAAAATTCAACACGATTGACCTAACATTTCCAAACCTGCAGGTGATTTATAGAAGTGTCAGCTTAATGTCGCATAATGGAACTTCTGCTTTTGTTTTTTTGAAAAATCAAAGAAATTACATGCAAAATTATCCATCAGAACTTCATTTCAAAATGAAGTCAATGAGAAGTAAGCCTAGGACAAGTGACATTTAATGTTAAATACTTTGAAAAATTAGGATCTACATATCTCAAACTGTGTACCTAAAATTAGTGTATTCTCTTAGAACTATTACCTTAGTTCTCATTGTAAGGGGGGATTACAACACTACCTCAATTTGCAGAATTTTCTGTGAAAACATATTAACAATTTGTGTCTTAGAATAACAAATCATGTAAGAAAAATCCCAGAGGAAGTGAGTCTATTCAGAATCTTCTCTGAATGCAGAGAGCACCAAAACCGATACAGGATTACACATCGGACAACCAAAACAAAGAAAAGTAGATTTCCTTCCTCCATCTTAAGCATTTGCAGAGGAATTCTACAAAAAAAGTAATCATAACACACGTGCATTTGTGCAGAACTGAGATTGCACAAGAAACCATAATGCTGTAATTCTGTAATTTTTGTATACTTAACTAACACTGAACAGTGTTATAAAAATAATGATTATGATTGCTGTTTACTTTTAGGCCTGAAGTAAAGGTTTTCACTGGGAAATTCTTTAAGGCCTAATATGATTGCATGCAGTATCTCTGTAATGTTATCTCCCATCATTGTCATCAATTACTACCGAGAGTGGCTTCAGTTTAAGGGACATTTTCTTGCTATATGTACAGAAGAGTCAGGTTGCAATCCAGCATTTTGGTTCCTCTACCATTACAACATCCCTTCAGACATCCTGATCACACCACATCCCAAATCAAACTTGGTAGCGTCATCTAAATGGCTATCCTTTTCTTGATCAGAAACAGGACAGCTAAATTAACCTCTCCTCTCCTTGTGGTAGTATTCTGTTATCCTTCCCCTTCAGATAAACACAAACTATTATATAAAAAATTGTATCAGATAAAAAAAAGAAAATACTTGCTAATTTGGACAGAATCTGAAGGTGTTAACCTGGTAATGTTGCCCTTTCAGATATGTGATATGCAATATGAAAAGTTTTAAAATACCTTGTCAAATCACTAAACCTCTCATCTAAATCTCCTTTAAAAAGGCAAGTATCTAAATACAACGTTGCAGATTTGAAAATTCCTTCTTTATTTCTTATATAATTATTTTCTTGTTATACCCTCACTATATGAGACATCAAAAACCTGTAACAGCCATCGTTTCTTAGTTACCTTGAAATAATGTGCAAGTACAAACTTAGTTATGGAAGGTATTGATATTACTAAGTCTGTCATAGGTAAAATGAGGTAAATTGAAGGAATAAAATAAAAATCAACTCCAGAAAGAAATACAGGATAACAAGAGATGTCACTGATAAAAAAGAAACACCAACAGGCAGAGAAACAGTTACTAATTATTTAGTAAGAAATACCAAACCCTAGGAGTTGAAGTACTATACCTGAAAGCATGGGATAAAATAGCATTTAACTTATTCAGAGAGCTTTTGCTGATACCGGAATAAAAGCAGTATCAAAACAATACATTTGTATTTATCAAGGGGTTTTTTTGCTAAACAAAGCATTTTAGTACTTGATGAACAACATATAGAAGAATTCTTCACTCACCACTGAAATTCCACAGCTCTAGGATGTAAAGACAGCTGTTTAACAGCATGCATCAATATTACAAATAACCTGGCACAGAAAATACAGGAGGATACAGTGTCTAATGGAGACAACAAAGGGAATTAAATGAGAGAATGCAATTACCATTCTTGGAATTTGGCCACTTCTTTGAAGTTAAGACTTCTAGTCTTGATAACAATGGCAATCTTCAGTTATTTCTGTATAGTCATTTCATGACAATGTGTATTTCTAAGGAAATAGTTCACCTCATCTTTTGAAGGAAATAGTCTTACCTAGAGAGCATGCCCAGAGGAGTAACATTAAGTGATCCCATCAGCATTGCCAGGGCCATCCCTGGGGCTTCTCGCTCTATTACTTCTTTAGTGGCCTGCAATCAAAGATTAAATAGCAAAGTGAGTGAAGAAGTACAAGGACAAGAAAAATATGAAACCAGCTAAAATTTGGGTAAGAATATCTCCTTTTTTTGTTTCTGCCAAGAGACGTCCTTGCTAAATTCTCAACAGTGAAATATGTTAAAGAATTTTCTCTTGATTGTGTAAAA